ATCGCCCGGCCTAATTTCTTGTTTAATCAGATATTTTTGAAATATAAAGAAGAGAAAGCTATTTTGAACAAAGCAAGCAATGCTCTGATATAAAGCTAGATAAATACAGACTCGTAGCCCTCATGAAAATATTTTAAATTCTCAGTTAAATCTTTGCAAATGAAGCTGAGAATTGTTGTCTGTTATGTGTAAGTTCCTGAGTTCAATCTCCAGTAATGAGAAAGGGAAGGAAAGAAGGAGAAAGGAAAAGAATATCTTTGCAGATCAAAACTGACAACATATAAAAGAAGATTATTCATCATGACTGGGGAATTTACCCCAAGAATACATAGTCAGTTTAGTATCTGAACACCAATTAACATATTGAAAAATAGAAATAGAGATTGAATTGAGATAAATCCTGGATAGTTGGATAAAAAGTATTTAATAAATCCAAACCCATTCATGATAAAAGCTCTTTGACCTGAAACAGAAGAAGCTGCTTCTACAGATCAAGAGCAGCTACTCAAAATCTGCAGCAAAAAGCATACTTAAGTGACCAAAGACAACAGCTTCTGCTGAGGACATTTGTTCTCCTGATCTTTTTTTTTTTTTAAATATTTATTTATTATGTATACAATATTCTGTCTGTGTGTATGCCCGAAGGCCAGAAGAGGGCACCAGACCCCATTACAGATGGTTGTGAGCCACCATGTGGTTGCTGGGAATTGAACTCAGGACCTTTGGAAGAGCAGGCAACGCTCTTAACCTCTGAGCCATCTCTCCAGCCCTGTTCTCCTGATCTTTTCATTTGTTTCACCATTAACATTGTAACAGCCAGTTTAGTAAGGGGAGAACTTAAACTGCCCTTATTCGCATTGTCCTATTGTGTGATACAAAACCAACATATGAAATCAGTTGTGTTTGTATGTACTCTAAGAAAGTGGCCCAAAAAATGATAGTAAGAAAAGAATTTATGCAGAATTTATGTAGAAAACTAGTAAGTAGCTGAAATTAAATTCTTGTGCATGTGTGTTTACACGTGTATGCTAATGCACATGCATATGGAGACTGGAAGTCAGCCCTCAAATGCTGCTCCTAAGGACAGCTCTTTATTTTTTTGAGACAAGTCTCTCTCTCTCTCTCTCTCTCTCTCTCTCTCTCTCTCTCTTTTAAAAAAAAAAAAAAACTTTTCTCATTTTACATTCTAATCCCAGTTCCCGCTCCCTCCACCTTCCCTCCCCACCCCCAATCCAATCCTCAAAGGGAGTAAGGCTTCCCAAGGGGTGTCAACACACTATATCTATATCTAAGGTGAGCAAGGTATCCCTCCAAAGCGAATGGCTACAAATAAAAGCCAGTACAAGCAGTAGGGATAAATCCTGGTCTCACAGCAAGTGGCTCCACAGTCTGTCCCAGCTAAACAACTGTCACCCACATTCAGAGGACCTAATTTGGTCCTATGTTGGTCCCCCTGCTGTCTGGCCAGAATCAGTGAGCTCCCATTAGCTCAGATAAACTGTTTCAGTGGGTATCCCCATCATAGTCTTGACCCTTTGCTCATATTATCACTTCTTCTCTTTGACTGGACTTTGGGAGCTCAGTTCAGTGCTTGCTGTGGATCTTTGCATCTGCTTCCATCAGTTGCTATCTGACTACAGGGTCAGGCACCTTCTCCACTATTGCTTAGAGTCTTAGCTGGGGTCATCCTGTGGATTCCTGGGATTTCTCTAGGTTTCTTGCTAGCCCCACAATGCTTCTCTCAATCAAGAAATCTCTTTCCATGTTTTCCCTCTCTGTCCTTCCCCATCTTGACTGCCCGTTTCCCTCCCTCCTCTTCTCCTCTCCTCTTTTCTGTCTGCCCTTCCTTCTCCTCCCACCTTCCCCTGAGACAATTCTCTTATTGGGACCTGGTACTAACTAATTTGGCTGAGCTAGCTGACCAGCAAGCCCCAGGGCTTTGTTGCCACCTCCCCAGCACTGGAATTAGAAAGCCCACAGCACCTTACCTGGCATTGTGTACACCGTGTGCTTGTGTGTGCAAGTACGTGTTTGTGTGCATGCTTTCTAGGGATGAGACATGGTATTCATGTTTGTATGGCAAATATTTTTCTGTTATTCTCTGGCCTGAGATTAACTTCTAAGAGACATTTCACATTTCAGCATTCTTAAAACAACACTTGTCCGTCTCTAGCTTAATTGATTTATTTCCTATTCAATAGTCATTCTTCAAACAATAAACTGATACCTTATTCTAACATAAATATAACGGGGATCTAATTTTAAATATATATGAAAAGAACTTGAGAAGAATGAACTTAGAGGATATACATAACCAGGTTTCAAAAGATAATTATAAAGATACAAGTAATCAAGGCAAGAATAAACTGTTCATAAAGTAGATTACATGAAACAAAGCTCTCAATTGGGAGGAGGCTTAAATTTATCCTTTGTTAATTTTTGACAAATAGCTAAGACAATTCAAAGTCCCTAACAAATGTTCCTGCAGCAGTTGGGTGCCAAAATGCACAAAGATTATTTAAGGTTCTTGTGCATGGCAAGTCAAATGGTCAGATGACTGATGTATCCATAGAACTTTTAAGAAATTGTAGGCAGTCTTTATGATTTTGTACAGCAAAGGACTCATAGATACATCACCTACAAATCAGTGCTGGAGAGACGGCTCGGCAATCAAGAGCACTTGCTGCCCTTGCAGAGAAAGTGAGTTCAGTTCTCAGTACCTGTGGTGGGTATTTCACAACTACCTGTAACTCCAGCTCCAAGGAGTCCAGTGTCGTCTTCTGGCCTCTGTGGACATCTGTACTCATACACAAACACAAAAGATAATAGAAGATCATAAAAAACAAAGTTTGTTGTGCTATAGAAGACATCTTGAGGAGAATGAAAACACAAGACAAAGATTGGAAGAAAATGTTTGTTATAGAACATGTGTCTTTCAAAAAAGAAATTATATGTGGAATATACTAAAAACTGTCAAAGCTCAATAGTAAAAATACAGCCCAGAACATTTAAGTGGATGCTTTATCAAAGAAGGTACACAAGTGAAAACAGCACAGGAAAAAGATGCTCAACAGTATTGCTTGTTAGGGAAATTTAAAACATACTTCATAGAATGCCTGCAATCAAAAGATAGATGAGGTTTGAGGATCAGAAAAACTACAGTTCATAGTGCATGACGTAGGAGAATGTAAAGTGGTACAGTCACTGTGGAAAACACTTTAGCATTTTCTTTGTAAGTTAGAAATATAGATTTATCATCCAGTGAATCAGTTTCCTCAAGAAGCATGAAAACATATCCACACCATAACTCTTGTGTGTGCATATTTATAACAACCCCATACTGGAAACAAGCCAAAGCTCACACAGCATATCTGCACCATTGAGTAGAATTCATCCTCAAAAAGCTAAGTGTTGACTCTGTTTCACTGTAGTGAAACACTAAAAGTAATAGCCTAAGATGCACAAAATCACATATTGTTCAATTCCGTGTATGTGAAATGTTAAAAGATAATACCAGTCTGTGGAGGCAGGATAGGGTTGGCAAGTGGCTACAAGTAGGAGTGAGGGATCTCAATTTTTGGTGGTGCAAGTGTTACAGTCTGGATTGTGTGAGAGTTAAAGAACTCTGGAAATTGATAAAAAGTTATTGAGCTTTACACTTAAATTGGGCAAGTCTTATAGAATATAAATTATACTTCAATAAGCTGTTTTTTTTTTTTAAAAAAAAAAAGAGAGAGAAAAGGGTGGAAAACAGGTGCTAGGTATCCTACTTGTGCTTGGATCTAATGCCTACTAAGTACCCTGTAAGACATGTGAGAGCATCTTGCTAAGGGTGCTAAGGCCCCAAAAGGCTGCATAGAGTGCTCAGGTAAATTAAATTGCCAAAGAATTTGGAGCATAAAGGAGGTATATGAATTGGAACATGACTCTATGGCTGGGAGGATTTATTTAAAGATCATGTTGATATATTATGTCATAGTGGTTTCATGATACTCAAATTGGAGATACCTACCTAGGATTTGGGTAATATATTACAACTAGATAACCCTGGATAGTTTCTGAACTCATCACTTCCTAGCCTAGATTAAATGCACTAATTTGGCTAGTATTGTCCTAGTAAGCCTACAAGACATAGCAAGGTGCTGATATATTTGATTATGCAGTGAAGAGGAAAGTGTAATAATTTAAGCTTTTTGACCTCAAGACTTGCGATTTTATGAAAATGGGCAGTTTTAGAACTTAACATTACCGGTAAAATTAGGTTTCATAAAATGGAAAATTGGTCAAGAAAAGATTCAAAGTACATTGAAACGTTTTTGCCTGTAGAAGAGAAATAAGAAAGTACATTTATCTTCCTGTAAAACAAGGGGCTAAGTCTTAGAAGAGGATGCAACTGGGGAAGTACTTTTGAGTCTACCAGACAGGTTCACCACAGCAACAGGGCACTGTTTGGTCCTGTAGATTTATGAAGACATAATGAAGGGGGTTAGGCTTCATAATACCAATGCTGGTATAATTGTGTCTGGTGTCTTTGGAAGCCAGAAGAGGGCATCAGATTCTCCTGGAACTAGAGTTACAGTGGTTGTGTGCTTCCATGTTAGTTTTAGGAGTCAAACCTGGGTCCTCTGCAAGAGCAGCCAATGCTCTTAACCTAACAAGCCATATCTCCAGCCCCTCATTTCCTCTTTTTCTTTTTTTTTAATAGAACATTGATGCTGGAGGAGGGGAGAGGCTTGTTTCTTTCAGAGTTGTGTTATTGCTCTTGTCTCTTAAAGGACGGATAGCTTTGGTTTTTAAATGGTTGTTGTTATTATTATCATCATCATTATTATTATCTGTAGAAATATATCTAGAAAACTAGGTTATTCTTAAGAAAAAGAAAAATTAAGGATTAATGGGTAGTAGATTAATAATCGCCTTGATTCAAGATACTGAATGAAATGACTAGTTTTCCAAACACATTTACAGAAGGTCATTTCCTAATCTGATTCTCTTTTCAGGCACTACAGACACCACATCCAACAACACAGCCACCGTGATTTCTACAGCACCCCCTGCTTCCTCAGCAGTCACATCTCCCTCTTTGAGTCCCTCCCCTTCTGCCTCAGCCTCCACCTCTGAGGCCTCTAGTGCCAGTGAGACCAGCACAACACAGACCACCTCCACACCTCTTCCCTCTCCTCTCGGGGCCAGCCAGGTGATGGTGACAGCATCTGGCTTGCAAACAGCAGCTGCTGCTGCTCTCCAAGGAGCTGCACAGTTGCCAGCAAATGCCAGTCTTGCTGCCATGGCTGCTGCTGCAGGACTCAACCCAGGCCTGATGGCACCCTCACAGTTTGCTGCTGGGTAAGAAGCTTTCCAATTCCATTTGCGTTCAAAACAGAATCTCTTAGTTAGGGTTTCAGTCACTGAAGAGACATGACCTCAGCAACTTTTGTAAAGGAAAACTTATAATTGAGACTGGTTTACCGTCTTAGAGGTTCAGTCCATTATCTTCTTGGTGGGTAGCATATTGGCATGTAAGCAGGCATGGTGCTGGAGAAGGAACTGAAGAGTTCTACATCTTGATCCACAGGAAAACAGGAAGTGAATTATCTACTACACTGAGCTGAGCATAGCTTGAGCAAAGGAGGCCTCAAAGCCCACCCCCACAGTGACACACTTCCTCCTACAAAACCACACCTACTCATACAAAACCACAACACCTAATAGTGCCACTCCCATTGCGGGGTGCTGTTTTATTTCAAACCACCATACAACTAGAAACCCATTACTGTAACTCATAGGGAAGAGTTTTCATCACTCTTAAATGAACAGCAAATCTGAGCTGGACTGCTTTGATTACAGATATGAACATAAGTTTCTAAGTAGCCACACTACCATTTCCACGTGATGACACAGGACTGAGTCAATGAGTGACTCAGCTGTAAGAGCCAGGAAGAGAGCTCAGAATTCTACATAGCCTTAAGCTTTCTTCATTAAATTGTAGTTTACCTTCTTATTCTCAAAAATGGATAAAACTTGGAGTAACCATGTCTGGTTTTATATATTTTCATATAGTTTTTATTCTCTGATAATTTCATACATGTATACAATGTTTTTTTTATTATATTTATTCCCCACTCCTCCCAAACTGCCCTGAACTCTCATACACACACAACTTCGTGTTTCCTGTCTTTTTTTTTTCTTCAAGTAGCTAATCTAATTAGTGTGCCTATATGCACATGAATTGGGTAACCTACCAATGTGAGATATCCTCCCCCACAAAAGAGAAATTATTTCCCCTCTTCCTGCAGCCATCAACTGCCATTAGCTCCTTAACTGGGGATGCAGCCTTTTGAGCCCTTCTCCATCCACACTAACTTGGCTGGCTCGATCTTATTCAGATAATCGTTGTGTGCGACTGCACTGTCATGTCTAGAAGAAAGCATTTTATAATAGTACTCCAGCTCTTACACCCTGTCTGCCCCAGGAACATCTTCAATACTCCCTGAGTTTTGGTGCTAGGAAGATAGGTTGATGTAGATGTCCTATTTAAGGCTGCATACTCAACAGTCACTCAATAATTTGACCAGTTATGAGTCTGCGTTTATCATTGTCCATTACAAAAACAAACTTCTCGGACCCGGGTTAACAGCATCATAGATCTGTGGGTATTAACATAGTTATAAAGGACAATCCACTGTAGCCATTTAATAAAACAACAGTTGGTGTCTGCTGCCATGACCTCCTCATCCATGGCCTTTTGACTAGATTTTCAGTACCAGGCTGTATCCCTCTATGAATAGGTCACAAGTCAAGTCAGAAATCAGTTGTTTGCCCCTGGAACAGTCATACCACTGTTGTACCAATAAATATATTTTGCCTGATTGGTCAGTTTTGTAACATACAGGATCTAGCATTGGATAAGACTATTGCTACCTTTTCTCTCCCGTTGTTTATATAGCACCTCTTGGCACCGTGAAAACTAGCCAGCAGAGAGGAAATTTCCTTGTCAGTTCCAGATTGATGTTTCTATATACGGCAACCTAAGTATATGTGTGTTCAGTAATAGGGTCTTAAAATCTAGTTATGATGGGCAACTAAGAGCAGTGGCAATAGCCTATAGTGTTTAACTTTTTTTTTTTTTTTTTTAAATAAGAGGGCTAGCTTCTGGAGCCTCACAGACCAATAATTTGTAGGGAAGGATCCCATGAATGGCACTGAGATTTTTGTTTAATAACTTGTGTCTTCTGGGAACAACATTGGTTTTTGTTTGGGTTTTGGTTTGGTTTGGTTTTTAATTCAGGCTTTCTCTGTGTAATAACCCTTGCTATTCTGGAACTCACTCTGTAGACCAGGCTGACCTCAAACTCACAGAGATCCACCTGCCTCTGCCTCCTGAGTACTGGGATTAAAGGTGTGCGCCATCACTGCCTGGCTTTCTGTTATTTGTTTATCATGTGTTTTAATTAGCTTACACACAGGGGGTTTCCATAAGGCTTTTCATAAATCCTTAGTTTTTGTTGACCCATCTTCCTTCTCTGTCACCTCTGCTCAAACATTTAATCCCCATATTTTCCTCCTCTTCTTTTCATACCACACATCATGCCTCTTGTCTCCCCATCTCATGGACCCTTTCAGGCTTTCTAACCTATGGTTACTCCAAGTTAAACATAAGCTAAAGATTCAAAGCTAGGAGTCAAATATGAAAGAGAGCATGCAGCCTTTGTCATGCTGGGCCCGGGATATTCACTTAATGTTTTCCAGTTCTCTCCATTTACCTACAGGTTTCACTTTTCTTTACAGCTGAATAAAATTTTATTGTATATTTGTACCAGTTTTATTATCCATTCATCAGTTTGTGTTAATTTCATTTATTCCTTAGCTATTGTGAATAGAGAAGCAATGATTGTAGTGTGGTAATTTTATATTTTTATTGTTGAATAGGGATTATCCTTTCCAGTTTTTTTCTAGAAAAAATTAATGAAGTAATTCAAAGAAAAGTCAGAATGACTAAAAGTTTTATATTTTATGCCTATCATAATCTTGTTTATACAAGTAAATATCAAAGAAGCAGTAACTTGTAACCATTTGAAAGTATACAGAAAGTATACCCATATTTTTCCTAAGCTGAAGTTTTCTTTATTATCATTATTTTATTATCAATTTGGTATGTTGTCAAAATAACAGGTATGTGTGCGTGGCAGTAGAGTGACTCCTCTTTTGCACTTGCAGAGGTGCCTTACTCAGTCTCAATCCGGGAACTCTGGGCGGGGCTCTGAGCCCAGCCCTGATGAGCAACAGTACACTGGCTACTATTCAAGGTCGGTAGCATTTTTTTTTTTCTTGCTTCTTGCACCTGAGTGTGTGTGTATGTGTGTTGGAGGCTATCTGCCTTGCTAGAGATTAAGGTGAGGAGAGAGTTGAATGCTGATTAAGTTGTTCCTGAAGATCAAGATGTCCTGTAAAAAAAAAAAAAGTTTTGTACAAGAATGTACAGGTGAGTTTGTCAGAACAACAAACATTGCATAATTTGATTTATTCCAAGAAATCTGCACTTTACTTTCTCTATGAATAGAAAGATAGATTTCCTCCTGATGTTAACCTATCTCAAGGCAAGCTTCTTCAAGTAAAACTCCCCAGTTCTATCCCCACCTGAAGATAGCCATGTGGAATGGTAGCATACATCCCACAGATCTCTGGGATATTTTTCACCCTTGTTAAATTTTCCCCCCTGTATATTCCCATCAGTGTAGGACATATGTTCTTGGATTATAAATACTTTTTCCAAGGCCTTTTTGGGTCCATGTCAGCCTTTTCTCATTGTTACTTAAGGTGATACTTATTCATACAGTGAAGGATCTACCTTGCCTTGTTCAGGATCTAAGTTTTATGCCTAAAGATGTTTATTTGGGGAAAATTCATGTTTGGACTGAAAGAATTTTTGGGTTTGTTTGGGTTTTTTTTTTCTTAAAATACTTTATAATTAAATAAGAATTATTGGGATCAAAAACAAGCTGGCAGGTCCTGGCACGTTTCAGTGAGTGATATGTCTAACCAGATACTTACTGTAGGCAATATTAAACTACAAGATAGAAATCGAATTGTGGCCTGCATTGCCCTGCTGGTTTGTTGGATTCTATTTGACTGACTTGTGTCCGGACTGATGGTTAGATGGATGTGTAGTGTTTTCATTGTGCAACAGCATCCTTTAGAATATTTGGGATGAGTCCCATTTTCCTGTATAGGGCATATCTCTGGCTTACAGTTTATGCCTTTCCTAAGGCATGAGTGTCTGTAGAGCATTCTCCAGAAAGACGTACAGTCACTCTGTGACCCTGAGCCTTGAGTCCAGGACACGTCTGTCAGCCTGCACCAGGGCTCCAGGTTGTATATTGTATGTATACTCATTTTCAAAATCAGGGATTCCTTTCAACTAGAAATAACATGTAGTGATATGTCCTGTGGGGAAGCATCATAGAAAAATTTTGCACCATTCATTAGCAAATCTTAGCCTTAGATCACTCACACATCATTGTGTGTTGTATCTCCTCCTATAATAAACAGTATTCTTTGCACAGTTCATAAGAGTCAAGTGTTCTGCCTCTAGAAGTATAAAAACAAAATTTTTAAATTGTGCCTTTTTCTTTATTAAGTAATATATAAATTTTCATGACTAAAGCCTTTGGAAAGATGACTTTCATCTTATACAAATTTTGTCAAATAATGTTACATAATGGTAGTTGTTGTTAAAAGCTAAATGTATTTTTAACACTCAGTCACTTTAACTAGTAGTCTTTTGAATGGAGATAGTTTTAAGTCAATTTCATTGAAAAAACAGAATTGTTGGATTTTAACAAATCTTTGTAAGTAAATGACATAAACTTGAGACTTAAAAGATAGAAACATGATTGATTCTTCCCCATTCATTTGTCCTGCTTATACTTATTAAACTGACTTCCAGTTCTTTGGATGCTTCAAAATTATAAATAAACTTGAGTTGATGTCAGTATAGCATTGTCATTTAAGTATAGCATTATAATAACATTATAATTGGAGCATTAGAATTGAGTATATAGTCAGTGAAGAGTATACTCTGCTACTGAGTAGAGCTTTGCTGATGGGTGGTTTGGCTTCTCCAGGATGAAGTTTAATGTTCTTTCGTTCTGGGTTCTTGTCTATAGCTCTTGCTTCTAGTGGTTCTCTTCCAATAACGTCACTGGATGCTACTGGGAACCTGGTATTTGCCAATGCAGGAGGAGCCCCCAACATCGTGACTGCCCCTCTGTTCCTGAACCCTCAGAACCTCTCTCTGCTCACCAGCAACCCAGTAAGCTTGGTTTCTGCAGCTGCAGCCTCCACAGGAAACTCTGCACCTACAGCCAGCCTTCATGCCTCCTCCACCTCTGCTGAATCCATCCAGAACTCTCTATTCACAGTAGCCTCTGCCGGTGGGGCTGCTTCCACCACCACCACTGCCTCCAAGGCACAGTGAGCTGGGTGCAGAGCTGGGCTGCCACAGACCTTCGCCAGTGCAGCATAATGGGCTGCCAGCTGTTAGGAAACAGACAGGTGTGATTGGCTTCCTCCCACCATGTTGTGAAGATGAGGGAGACATGGAGAAAAGAAAAAATACACTTACCAGGAAAAAAAAGAATGGAGACAGAACAACATTTGCCTAATTTTATAAAAAAAGAAAAAAGAAAAAAAACAATGTCTTTTCAGGATTGCTTCATGGATTAGAGAACTTTCTAACCAAAAATTTAAAAGAAAAAAAAAAACAGAAACAAAAAATCCAAAACAGACAGACAAAAATAAATGAAAGGACTACTTCCCATTTCCAGCAGTCATGATGACAAGCGAAGGTGGGTGACCAGTTCCAGTAGAGGAAGGGGTGTCTTGTGGTTTCTTTCTTTCTTTTTTTTTTTTTTTTCAAAAAATCATTTTTATAGGTCTGTTGTACAGGCCATTAAGTCATAACAAGGTGTTTATAATCGTATCAATTGTGTTGGGGGTTCCTTTCTTAACTGGTACAATTTAGGCAGGCCTGTATTACTGTATCTCTGTTATTGTTTTTATATATATATATATATATTGGACATGTTTATCTCTTGCTCCTGGATCCTATTTCAGTGAGCTCCCACACTGTGGGGAGGGCGGGTTTTGGGGTTAAGGGAGAATTGCATTCTTAACTTCCAGGAATGTTCTTGCTGGTTTCCTTATCCTTGATGACTCTTACAGAGGTGCTAGAAAATGATTTTCTTTTGCCACTTATGCAAGAGGCTTGGTGCAGAAGCTGAAGGCAGTGTGTGCACACTCCTGCTCCACACATGCTCCTCCCCATCAGGTGGTGCCTTTGGAGCACTCTTGTGTAGGAAGAATTCCTGCTGAACTGTAGCTCTCACTCACCCCTAATCATTGAGCAACCCCGAGGCCCAAACCCTCTGGTGCAACAGTGCTGCTTTCTGCTACTTTCAATGGGAACAGCTGTGCCTGTTGCAGGGCAGGTTTTGGTTCCGGAGAGCAAAGACTACTGCAGACACCTGACTTGGTGGTTCTCCTGATTTCTATCTCTTTTTTTTTTTTAATGCTCCTACTGTTGATGTTTATTTGTTTGCTTGTTTGTTTTCATTTTATGGAAATTTTCTATCCAAACTTCCTTTGGTCAAGATCAAATTGATTTACTGAAACTGAGAAACAAGTCTTTGTTTTCTTAAAGAAGTTCTTTTGGACTGTTTTCTACTAATTAATATCCCAAAAAGGTCAATATATAGAGTCTGAATCTGCCACCTTTTCCTCTAGAGCAGAAGTTCTCAACCTCAAAGTCTTGACCCCGTGGGGGAGGGGAGGGAGTCAAACAGCTGTTTCACAGGGGTCACTTAAGACTATTTACATATCAGATATTTACATTGCAGTTCATAACAGTAGCAAAATTACAGTTATGAAGTAGCAATGAAAATAGTTTTATGGTTGGTGGGTGACCACAACATGAGAAACTGTATTAAAGGGTCACAGCATTGGGAAGGTTGAGAACCAGTGCTCTAGGGTCACAGACTTCCTGTCCGCTGAGTGGCTCAGAAGCTCCTCCAAGCCTCAGACTTTCCTCAGTTCTTTGACTGACAGAGGCACTTTCCTGACTAGGCAAAGGATCTATAGAACCTCAGAAAAAGGCTGAGCAGGAACTTCACACCCTGTTAGTGTCTCCGGTTTGTTATGCCCCTGCTAGGTAGGTTTGGTGACAATACACATCTCTTATTTGATGTAAAAAAGTGATTTGCTCCTGTAATTGTTTTCAGGGTGTTTCTAGACTACATAAATGAGCCCATTGAAAAGGAAGAGCTTGTGAAAATGGATGAAGATGGATGAGGGTAATTTAGAGATTAAATTCCCCCTTTTGACAATGCCCTATTATTATACTATCTGGACCAGAATTTTCACAGATGACTGGGTCATCGCAGTGAAGTTCATCTAAGTTGCCCTTACTGGAGTTAAGGTCCCCATTGGTGTCTGAGGTGCTTGCTTCAGTTTCTGGTGGTCTGCACTGAGCTGAGGTGACTTTCCTTCTGATAACTTTGCTTATGCCCATAGGAAACTTGGATTCTGTGCATTTGTCTCTCTGCACTGTTGCTCAGAAAGGCAGTAACACAGACACAAATGTGTATCTTTTTTTGTGATTCAATTAGAGAAAGGTCATATTAGTATTAAAGGTCAGAATCATTTTGGTTCCCCTTTAAATTTTTCTTTAGTTCCTTTTATTTCTTGGATATTGAATTTTTACCCCCGAATTTCTCTGACCCTTAACTTTTCCTAAACTTGTTTTAAGAATCAATGAACTGCAAGCAGGGAAACTAACAAATGCTCATCCACCTGTTTTGTATGGTATGAGTAGTTTTGTTTTGTTTTGTTTTGTTCTTTAAACTAAGCTTGAACCAAAGTCAATTTTAGCAAGCTGCTGTACTAATGGACTAGTTATAATGTGCAGTTCAAACACATTGAGGAGATAGATGCTACTGACAATTTCTTACTCATTTTTCTTGATTTATTTTATGTGAAAGTTGCTGCTTGTTTTTATCTTCTATGTTGGTAAATTATAATATCCTCTGGGCAGACATTACCATGATTTTTAGCTACTTTGTTTAGGTCAGTGTGTAAATAGAATGGCTGTGTCAGTTAATAATTTCTCTCCTCCCCATCAGTTCTTTCTTTCCTGTGAGTTTAATCTTTATTTTGACTTAACACTCTAACCTTAATCTGTGCACATGATTATAGGGCTGTAGGGCTGTCAATACTATTTCTCCTCCTAGCAGAGAGACCCTCCCTTGGGAGTGATGAAGTTAGGAGAAAGAATTCAGGGAGAGAAATGCTGATTGCCCACCATACCAGGTTAGACGTTATAGCATTAATGCCCAGAATCGCTACCAAAGTAAGTATTGTCTCAAGGGACCTGGCCCAGGGAGTTAAAAAGGACAGAGAAAGGCTGTTTTGTTTAATCCTATATGGTTAAAAGAATCTTTCATAAATAAGATTCCCCTACAGAATTTGATTTGGGGGGGGGGGGGATGTCTCGAGACAGGGTTTCTCTGTAGCTTTGGAGCCTGTCCTGGAACTAGCTCTTGTAGACTAGACTGGCCTCGAACTCACAAAGATCCGCCTGTCTCTGCCTCCCGAGTGCTGGGATTAAAGGCGTGCACCACCACCGCCCTGCCAGACTTTGATTTTTAAAGATGATATTAACTTTACATGTCAGTCCAATGGTTTGTCAGTCCCTCCTTTGTCTGTAGTTTCTAGTTGGTTTGAGAAAGAAATGCTGCCTTTTAATGTCTTTGAGGATAGACATTAAAACCAGCATAAGTGCTATATTGAGAAGAAAAAAATCTTTAGAAGAAGATAACTTTAATTTTTCCCTCTCCTTTTTCTTATATTCAAAATTAAATTGTAAAATGAAAGGTACTTTGACACACTACTAACACCTGCTGGTGGGCGTTCAGTTTAGAGCCACCTTCATCACCACCTCCATATTCTCTAAGTCTCTGTTTCACAAACACCTTGAGTACTTTTCAATTGATAGCACCTTTTTTTTTAATGATCTCAAATGCTTTTTGAATTGACTGATCTATCTTTTCAGCTAAAGTGTTGCCTTTTATGAGGAAGTCTAGAAACTAAAGGGGTCGTTTGAATAAAAGGCATTTGGTTGAGTTTCTACATTTCCAGAAGAAACACCAGACAGGTTATTATAGCTCGTTATTTCATTTTTCTCCTCCTCCTGACATTGATGCAGATTTTATTTCAGCCCTGAATATTAGTTAACACATAGTAAGCCAAAGACTAATTTTAAATACATTTTTAAGGATACTCTATTTGCCTGTGATATGACATTTGCCTGGAGAGTAGTGAATGTAATTGTTCAATCTGTTTCGCAATGCAGTTTGGCAGAAACTTTATTTATACCCTGTGTAAATCTGAATGACAACAGAAGGATCTACAAGGCTTCTCACAGGAGCAGTATTACTGTTCTAGGAATCAGTAGAATGCTCTGTTAGCTTGAATGTCTCTGAAGTTCTATAGGCAGCTCCTTAGAATGAGGAAACTTATCTGTTGTCAGGAAGGTCATTACCATCCTGTTTATGTAACTTATTACTCCAAAATAGAACCAAAGGAATCCGGCTTTCATCTTGTGTAGGACCAACCTATTTGTGTTTCATGAGCTTTAATAGAATATTTTTAAAGGGACAATATCAATTAAAAGATTTTGGGTGTGATCATCTTGCCAGTTTGTTCTACATCATCATTCATTTGTTTTAGGAAAAAAGCACAATTATACCTCTTTAATATTATGTCTATCCTTCACTTATTTGGGAAAATTGGAGAAATTATCTCTTTATTATCCAGAAGCACAGGTTTTTGCTTGACAGTATTTCAGTTTAGCTTAAATGATAACATTTAACTTGCTGGAAACGCCAGGTACATTTGTAAATATAGGGATATTATGTTAGAAAAAAATGCTTTAGTTTACAGTCTAAGTTCTTATGTAATCCTCACAAATCTTCCTTGACCAAGAGAAAAATAAGGTCATTGAAATAGGAAGGCAAAGAGACACCTGTTCATGTTTCTCCCAAGATAGGAGAGATGCTGCCCTAGTGTGTAGAAGACAGTTTCCTGCTGGCAACCTGAGTTGGCCCTGGCCCTGAGGAACTCTGACCACAATCTACCTGAGCACTTGATAAGACAGAAGGAAGGACCTTAGCAACTCAGCAGGAAAGCTTGTTCAGAAACTTTAAATTGGCTGTACTTAATTGGAACCGAAAACATTCACGATTACAGTGCTAATGGGAGGGAAATACTAAAAGACCTAAAACCCATAATTATCCAAGTGGGCAGAAATTGATTTAGTAATTCATTCATAACTGTTATGAGTTTACTTTGATTTGTGGGTATGAACAGCATTTACCATGTTATGTTGTTCATATAAAGAAATCCCTGGCTATTTTGAAATCATTTTCAGAGACTTGTAAAAATAAGACTCTCTTAATATTATTTTCACTTTTGAGGAGAAAAAATAATTCTTTGCTTGTTTCTCTGAAACTAAGAGCCACTCTAGGCTTACATGATGGCACCCACAGTGTATACACAGGCCTGAATAGAAAAGCAGAAATGAGTTGCTTTCATTATTAAAGGTTGATGGAATCTCTTTGCCTTCTCCTCCTCATCCATGGAGAGTTAGTGTAATAAAGTTCTACCAGGAGGCAGGGGGGTTCCTTGGAAGTTGGTTTGTGTCTAGAATTTCTTCTAACCAGCCATTCTATTCTTAAATTATTTTGACTTTTCTGCTCTTGGCCTTTTCTAAAAGCAGTGAGCTTGTGAGTCATATGTCAGTTCTGTGATCTGGATCTCTTGCCTCTTTTTTCCTTCCCTTTTTCTCTTTGAATGGTGGTACCTTAATCTGTGAGAATAATGCTCGTGGGTAACAGCTTCTGGCACCTTCATAAAATACCTCAGCATAGCTTAGCATTGTTGCGAACTGGTTTTAGACGTAAAAACCAAATAAGTGAAAGAAAAAATCTTTATAAATAGTGGAAATAATTCTAGCTGTAGTATTTAGTTGAACTAATGTTTATTATGGTTGATAAACATGATTGATGCTGTATGTATTTGGGATCCTGTTTATAGGGTTGGGGGGGTTGGAGTGGGAGAAAGGAGAAATTGATTATGTTAGAAGGAAAATATTGCTCATATGTGTTTTTCTTTATATCTGTCTTGCCAAAGGAAACTTGATATTCCCTGTGACTGGGTGGGGGTTTGAGGCCTCTGTCATCTGATATGCAGCACAATGTGCAGAGGCATGCGGGTGACTTGTGGGGTGTCCAGTAGGTTCAGGGTGCCCAAGGACAGATTTACAACCCTTCTTGTCTGTGGCTGCCATGCCCCCCCTCACCAGACCTACCAGCCTCTCCTAATGATCCATTACCTCTGTACATAGCTAAAGCCTAGGCAAAGGAAGAGAGTGTGCATGTCCAACTGTGCAGATGAAAAGAGACAGATAGAGACATGTATCCAAGGAGTTTGGAGAGGAATGGAGAGGAGGAGGTAAGTGATATATCTTGATCTAGGAAAATTAAGGTGAAGTGAGTCATCCTCTGTCATGTTAGTGAATGCTGTGCTAGTAGTAGCCCAATATTTTTTAAACCTTATTTCTTTTTCTTATTTCAAGGATAATTCTGTCTAGACCAAAACACAAAAGAAAAATCAAGAAGTTTAAAGCTAACCGCACACTTGACACCTATAGTAAGGTGTGGCGTTTAAGGATTGGTTGATGAGATGGAAGAAGTGCGAAACTATGTTGGTTAAGGGAAAAAGACTTTCTTGACTCCCTGAGTTCTGATACTAATATATCTCAAGAACTATTTTTTTTTAATAAATGTCCCAGCTCACAGAACTTGAGTGGGATTTGATTTTGATGCCAAAGACACTGCTGTACTGTTGCTTATCATTAAGCTTTCCAAATAGTCAAAGGATAGAGAAAATGCTTAAGTTAGTCTCTGTTCTTCCCATTCCTTTACTCCTTCCTCACTTTTGGAAAGATGTCTCATCGGTCATTCTTGCTTCGCAGAGATTGATTTTCTTCCTCCCTGCTGCTCTGTGGACACTACTAGAATTGCTCAGCATGGCATTGATATTCTTACCGAGCAAGAAACTTGAGGAGTGCAAAAAAAAAAAAATAGCAGTAGAATTTTTATTTCTCTTTATCTAATTCTTAAAAATAAAACTAGTCCATCCAACCTGTTAGATAGCAGGTTGTTAGATAACAGTCAATATTTAATTATGAAGAGCAGACTACATGAAAGCCAAATGATGTTCTCTTACTCTCCTGTAGAGCTATTTTGCTCTACAGTGTTTTTAAGATATGGCCTCTGGGAAATTAAGATGTTCATTGTTTAGGAATACTATTGATAAATAAACATAGACATGGAGAGAGAAGGAAAAAACACGTGTTACTAATGGTCCAACAAACGTGATTGGGTTGCTAAACTTCATGAAAGCTTTACTTGTTACTATTCTGACATTATATAAAAGTAGTGTTAATGTCGTGTGACTTTTCAAAGCATTAGGTAGGTTTATATGGTAATAGAGATATTAAAATAAGAGCACTTGAAACAAATGCTGTGGGAAAATAATATTCATCATGAACATCATTTCAACTGTGAAAGTGAAGCTCCAGGGTTCAGGGAGGGAAGCCGTTTATGATTCTTCGGCATCCCTGAGTCTGCCCACACTGCACAGGACTCCACCACCCTTGCCACCTTCTGGTTTAAACCCAGGACACTGTCAGAAAGTTAAGAACCCCAGACTAATTTACTGGGGAAAGGGAGAAGCTGAGGTCTGCTGTAACATTTTCCCTTGTTTTCTTTACTTGTTCATCACTGTTTAACGTAACCACAACCTCACAAAAGCAGTTCAGAGCTTCTCTCCTAAATTGCCAGTGGTAGTGATCTCCATTGCTGTATCCCAAGGTCTGCAGGCAGACAAGACAGCTGGCTACAGTGCTGTTTCAACAAGGAAGCATCTGCATGGAAGCTCCTTATGTGATCTCGTTAAATAAAAACGGTCAGTGCCCATCCAGCCCTGAGTGTCTCAGGTCTGAAAATTAATGACAGAAACAAAATGCACTTTCCTACACTGGTGTGACTGTCTCTCTTAGAAGCACTGTGCTAGGTTGGTTGGAGGCAGTGTGTCTTGGGTTCCATTCCTACATGAGTCTGCAGAAGGCACGTTTTATAAGGATAAAGTAAACTAGTTAGTGCTAGCCTGGTTAGGTATAAAATTGCAAACGTTGTGGGGGTGGCATGTTTGCCAAGACTGTGACAATATTACAACATTGGCTTTATACGATATAAATGGTAAATGGTGTCTCCTCTAAGACCAGATGGTGAGAGAAAGACTTCCTTCTTCCCACTCCTTACCTCTGCTTCCATGGGAATGTGTGCATTACTCAGTCCACAGGAGGACTCACTGGGGGAGGTACCTCTTCCCAGAGTGGACTTCAGTCATTCCTCTTCTCTGTGGTAGTAGTGAAGGCTAGGTGAGTAAGTGTGGGGTTTTCTTGCCCACCAGTTGTCCAGGAGCTGTCGTATACCTCATTCTAACTCGTGACTAAGTAACTTGCTTTAAGTTCCTCTCGACCCTACAGAGTTGCCAAGTCTGCCCTCCCTCTTCTCAGCAACATTGAACTCTGGCCTATAGCATCATAAGACCTGTCGCCTAGGGTGGGATGAGCCCTGCCCCTAAGCCTCTGAATGTCTCTGTTTTGAAGCTACTACAAACTGAGGGCAAATTGCAATCTCCTGTTTGTTTTGTTGTCAGGGATCATTACAGGTCTCCTATGTTTCCCCCACTACCTTGCCTTCAAAGACTGCCAGCTCTCCTCTCCCCCATCTGCCCCATATTTCCAACTGCTAGACACACACAGCTTCTGTCCTTGGCATTTTCCAAGTGGGGTCACAGCTGACCCTTCCCCTCTGAACATTGGGGTTCTGCTCATTGCCAAGACTTGGTAGAAAGGACACCCAAAGGTTCATTTAAGATGACTGCCGCATACACATTTCTCTTGTTTCCTGTGTGACATGACCAAAAACAAAGAAACAACCAAATATTTAAGTTTATTGTTGATATTATTATAATAATTATTATTATTTGACAATCTTATATCCAATGGGCTTTTTGGAAGCTGCATTCCTGGCCCTTTCAACCTTTTCTTTGAATGTAGTTCTCAACTTTTAATCCCCACTCCCAAAGTTGGGGGGATAAGAAGCTTAACCAGGTCAGGTCATAACACTGCTGCTATAAGCCAGGGGAGGGTGGTTTCTTTGTTTTGTTTTGTTTTTCCATTTCCAGCCAAAACCAAAGATTTCTTAATGATTGTATAAACTCAAAACAAACAAAAAAACCAAAGAAAAGGGAAGTCTTCAGCCTCAATCCAGTCTGTGGCGTCCTGGCACTTGGAGACATGCCCAAGGGCAGGTGGAGACATCTCTGACCAGCTCAAAAGGGCAAGCAAGCTTTTTTTCCGAGTTGAGAGTTTTGTTCGGGTGCCTGCTCAGTAGTTTTGACTCTTTAGCTGTGAGCAGAACATGCATGAAAAATACTGGCACATGAGATTTTCCAAAACCAAAGCCAAAACCCCATCACCACAACCCATCTGACAACAACCAGGGTCATCACCAGAGCTTAGCACAAGGCCTTAGAGCTGGGAGCTGCTACATGATGGCCACTCCACAGAATGGGGATGCTGAAGACACTGGCACAGGATTGGCTGCTCTGCTGGGTGCTTTCACCTCTGGGGCTGGGTCTACACACCCAAGGGGCCCTTCTGAGCCTTCTTTCTCTTTTCTTTACTGGAACTGCTTGGAAGTGGCTGTCCCGTTTGTGAGGAAACATACAGAGAGATTATCAAGCTTTTCTTTTCTTGTTTGTAGTTTTGTTTCCTTTTGCAGCACCACTGTGCAACTATGCATTGTATTTCATAACCTTTGTGCTAGGTAGATGCCTGTGACTTTTTAACTTGGGGTGGGTGGGGTGGGGGGGTCTCAAATGAAGGAGATTTTTACATGGATCTTTTTAATCTCAGTTCATTGGGGGAGGGGGGTATTTGGTTCTAGGGTCATACAAGCTCTATCCCAAAGCAAAATCCAAATGTTAATAATATTAGCCTGATGCAGATACCAAAGACAATTTCTTTCCTGCAGAACCTTAGACTTGTGTATTAAGTACGATTACCCAGCACTTGCATTAGTCTAACCTCAGTAATTCCAAAGCTTAGATGTATATTTTGGTATATTTCCAGGATATTAAAAGAAAAATGTCATTTAACTTCTTGTTTGTTTCAGTGTAATGCTCTTAAAGTCATAGCATGAAAACTTGCTCTGTCCCATTCTTGGTAGTTTGAAATAATAGTATTTTTGTATGTTTTGGGTGTGTCTGTATGTATTAGCATAACAGTTTTCACTGCCTAGGTGTTTGTAATAAAAATGAAAGGTTCTGAGTGTACATACTATTCAGTAATAATCTCCACGGTGTCCACACAAGTGTGGAGTCACTGATGACTGCCCAGCTGGGGTCTGGTTTTAAAGAGACAGTGATTGTGTTTTTCTAAAGATGTTTATTTCTGTCTTTAAATATCTTAACTCCCTCACTCCCCCCCCCCTTTTTTTAATTAATATTGATTCAGGGGTGTTTTTCCACTGTTGTCAAGGGAGGAACACAAGGGAAATTGGCACCTTGGCCTCCCCAAATGTTATTTTGTGTACTTTCAAATGTGACTTTGAGTTCTTCTTTGTGGAAACTTACAATATGATGTACATGATCCTTTCCAGAACTGCCCAGCAGCTGTAATAGGCAGTAAGAATTCCTGAGTAGTTATTGGGTGTCCTCTTACATTTCTCCTTAAGATGACTTTGCAGTCTGGGTGGCTATTGTGTAGCCTCACTGCCCCAGAGCGTCTGTAGCCATTTCTCCTCCCATGGGAATAGTTTATAAAAGTCAGCTGATAACTTGGAGTGTTGGTCCTTGTTATCTGTGCCCCCTGAGAAACCTGAAACACAAGCAGTTCTACTTGTTGGGGTTTAGCTGATCCTCCAGAGGCCTGGGGAAGTGGTGGGGACTATGAGCGGTGCTGTCTCTTTAAAAGTGCCCTTTATGTGATTTCCCCCTCTGGGGCTGGCAGAGGGGCCAGGGCTTGGGAGAGATTGTGTGGGTGCCAGTGAATCAGAATGAAATGGTGGGTTTGTGTAGATGCATTTGTCTGCTGTAATTTTTATATATATTAAACTTACTGTAACTGTACAGTTGCAATTTCTGTTGTAAAACATTAAACCATTTTCCAAGTGTTTTCACATTGTCTGTATCTCTGTGAGGTTGCTATCTTGGTATTCTGGCTGCTTTACACAGGCAGTTGCACAGATAACCACATGGGCCTTCCAAATCATTTCTTCCCACAGGTCTTCCTAGTAACCTCAGAGTCTAAGAAGCTTAGTCTTATAAAACTTACCCTCTGACTTCCTTAGTGAGCTGTAGCCCCTGTTTTCTTTACCCAACCCCTCAATGGAACCTTGAGTTGAGTAGCAGGAATTTCCTTCAGACCTGACTGCTCTGTATTATCAAACACACTGGCCCTTGACTGATCCTTCAAGGGAACTCCTTGGAGCGTCTGACTCACTGTGTGTGTGACTGCTGACTGGGATTGGACTTGGCTCTTTGGGCTCTGCCGTTTGACTGACAGACCCAGATACCTCTAGCATCTCGTGCCAGGCCTGAACCAGAGGTGGTGGGAGAGGATCCTCTGAAAGTGGCACATCTCGAACTGGCCTCCGGCCCTACTATGCGCATACCTAAGCCTCTGCTCTAGACACAAATATCTGGCACTTGGTAGAGCTCACTGATTTCTTGAGGAAAGGAGAATCCCACAGATAGAAGACTTGAGCATTGGGAGGTACCCCTGACAGGCATATGCTGACAACCCATCTCAAAATGACAAAAGTGCCAAAGCCAAAAGGCAGATGTGGGACCTACTTTTTGTTCCTAAGTCAAATTAACTTGTTATTTTCCATTATTTCCCTCTAATATTTATGTCTTGCATGTAAGTCTATGAAGTTATTTTTTAAAGTAGTTTCAAAATTTGAACATCCTTTTTGGTAGAGATAGTCAAACTCCATGTGACAAACCTCTGAGGTGAGACTGTGACCCTTCCTTTTATAAGCTGTCTTCTAGCTGCTCCCAAGGCCCCATAGGAAGAAGTTCCCCATGAGATGAGGTGATGAGCACGTGCTCTCTGTGAAGAGGTGCTGTCATTCCCAAGACCAGGAACTGAACCTGGGGCCTCAGCAAGATCAACAAATGTTCTCAACCACTGAACTGATTCATCATGATTTTTTAAGTCACATGGCTTTACATTTTAACCACGAGATAAGACTGTTTTTAACATGCTTTAAATCCTATGAAACAAGTGATAGTGCTCCATTTTCACTCCTGGATGCTCTGTTCTGCTTGTTACTGCCCCGTCTGAGTTTTTCTGCACTCCGTAATGAGGTTCACCTCAGGAAGCTTTCCCACCATCCTTTTCCAGCTCAGTCATGAGGCCGGGCATTTCCCTATCTGGAGGCACAACTGCCAGCCTAATGCCACATCCTACACAGACACTTCCTCATGGCAACTTTCAGGATGGCTTCATCTACTGGTACCCACCTGGTAACTTCCTGTCTCCATTACTACCCAGGCTTCACCACTGAAATAAGGCTTCAAACAACATTTTTAGCAAAGCATTTATTATTCAAAACAGTGAGGGTTTACTTAGTATAAATTAAAACCCCCAAGATGAGTGGGTCCTCCATCCATGGTCACAGGCACTTTAATTCTACCATGAGGTTGCAGTCCACTGATTGGCTCATTGTACCACTGTTATGTGAGCACTGCAGACCTGAATGGGCTTGGTCTTCTTGCCACTCAAGAAGCAGTGAACCAAGTTCCGGGAAGAAGGCAGGACTTGCCCCCTTTTCTCTTACTGCCTTGGCTTTATTATTACTGGTTTATTGTATACAGTGACGTCCTGTTTTGTGCACAAATCATTTGCACTCTTATGAGTGTGTTTTCCATGAAGATAAGGCATCTTTCCATTCCTGGAGTGCTTGGCACATTAGCTGGGAGATTTACGCTTGATACAAGGAGGCCCCTTGTAACTGCTGGGGACCTTCCGAGCATGTTGCTTCCCTTCTTTCAGTCTCTTCTGGCTGACACTTGCCTAGGCTCCCTCCTACCTGTCTCTCTCTAATTATATAGGTCATCCTGACTGTGGGGAGGATGACAACAGAAGCCAAATTTACAGCACGAGCAAACTAAGTCAATATCAATAGAACAATACAAACAGTACCCAGGCCTTCTCTAGGGGTATTAAAAAGCAAACTGAACTCAGCTGTGAAAGGAAGGGAGGATGTCAGTGCCCCCACCCCGACCCCCTGGCTAGGGGTTGGCTCTGCTGTGGGAACTGGGCTGAGGTAAGAGAGTGAGGGGGGCTCCCTTTAGAGAGTTCAGGGACGACATTCTGTGTACTGTGCTTTGGAACTGGAAAAAACGGGTGTGACAACCAGAAGCATCCTCTTCATAAAATAGTGGCAGCGAAATTAATAAACTGAATTGTATACGCTGTGTCCTCTGTCCTTCACAGTCAACAGCAGGTCAGGCCTATGGGTGGGAAATCCCCTGGCTTTTAGCGAGGGGGCAGGGTCTGCATATGAAGGGCGTCATAGGTGTCCTTAGTGGCCGCACTGAGCCCCTAGTGGAAGCAAATCACAAAAGAATGAACTAGAGTCCACAGGCACAAGTTTACTGTTTGTAGCTCATGGATTCCACTGCCTTTGGCAGCCCAAGAAGATCACCTCGGTGCCTCAGAAGGCTGACAGAAAGGTGGGTTCTCTGTCCTGCTAAAATGACTTTGAAGCAACTTTTTTCCAGCTTGGCTCTCACCCCTTGTCAGTTTCTCAAACACTATCCCCTGCAGTACCAGGGATCTATCAGACTCCCCATCCAACCAAAGAGGAAGGCAGCTTCCCCATGTAACATACTATGCTGGAATCTGGGATATTCCAGAGAATCTACTTCCTGGGCCCACAGAAAGTCTGAACTAGTCATAGGGCAATTGGTGGCTCCTTGACTTCAGTCCTTATTCAGGAGTTTCTAGTCTCTGGCCACTGTGGTATATTGTTTGGACAGGCAGGCAACGCTGGCCCCAGTCTCATGGGTGGGAAAGCCTCTCTCTGTTCCAGGGACTGAAAAGGCAACGGGACTTCAGCTTCAGCTCTGCCAGTAAGCAGCTGCACTTGGGCAAGCCCAGCAACAAAAAAGCCGAAGCCAACAGGGGATCTCTTTTTAGAAAGTTGGTTCTCTGCACACAGTCTGCATAATTTTCACTCATTTACATAAACCAGGCACCTGATTACAACATTTCTTCTTTGAAGCTGCCTATTTTTCTTTCTTCAATCTTTCTGTTCACTCTCTTAGCTCTTCCTGAGTCTTAGGATTTTGAGCAGAGCTAAGCTAAGGCAGTGGACAAAGGAACCAATCACCTGTGTAGGGTCCTTTACCTACTTCTGCCTGCACCTTTTGGGGGCTCCCGTCCCATTCTTTAGATAGCTGCTATTGTCTGTTATCCCCAGATGGCATGGAACTCCCGCAGCCCTCTGGTTAAAGCTAAGTATCTGCCTCCACAACTGGATCCCAGCCCGGCTATAGAGACATAATGGCAGTGGAGTGGCCTCCGGTCTGCTTGTGTGCCCTGGGTTTGCTCTCCCTGTCTGTTGACAAGGGCTGGTGCCACCAGCAAGCAAACCATGGAAGCTTCAGCTTTATCCCATGTCAGAACAGCACTCCCAGGAAGTGGACAACAGCTCTTACCTGGTAAAGGTCATTGTGCCCCTTGTCTTTCTGCCTCTGTAAGCAAGATTAGGAAGGAGGAGAATCAGCAGTAGCACTCACTCTTGCTCAACTGCCCCATTCAGGATCAGAAGGGACTAATTCCCAGCCAGCATCCCTTCCTCTG